ATGGAGATGGAGAGAGTGGCCCGACTCCACTTTGCATACGGAGAGTTCTGAAGAGCTCTCAGTGTGCCCAGAAGTTTGATAATACGAATGGCTCATTAGGATCACGAGCTTCCGCAGTATTCCTTGACGAACAAGCGTGTTAAGGAAAACAGACCAGTTAACAGAATGGGATGCGCCTTGAAATACAGGAATAGCGTAATCATCGACAGCATGACGTCAGTGTTCAAGACTGAGAGGTTATACGCAGTCTTCAACACATGAGGCCGTATGGATCTCCAGGTTAAAGTCTCAGGGCTTTACTTCAGCTGCAGAATCTAAATGAATAGCCTTTCCTCCCCACTACGCTTCACGGTCGGTACGCACATGCAGCTCCACTTGATGTGCGGTAATTCTTTGAGCCGATTAATTTTCGGACCAACTGAAACATTTCATTTTGGGTTTGCCTGTCTCTCAGTTGCTAAGCCATTTATCCACCCCTTATGCAGCACTGCAAAACCAAGAGTGAAGCGATTCCGGGTAAGCAGAGTTGGGATTCTCAAATGTGCTACAAAACTAGTGGCAGCCAGTTATCGATCTTCTCCATTGTAATTGATTGAGATGTAATCACCTTAGTTCCGTGGATGGCACGCTGTTTGAGAATACCATATGATCAAACAGCTTTGGTTGTTTCACAAGTTACTATTGTCGGCACGCAGCTAAACAATCATTCACCGTCATCCATATATGCCGAGGATAGTCCAAACCAGTTACTCATTTGAGTCGTAGAAGTGCTGTGTCTGCCCAATAATTCATTCAGAGCTTTAGGCTTGCCATAACAGGCACTTGAAACTTGTCTATGCTAGCGACAGAGCTAAATTTGATTGTGACGTATGCACACTCGACAGCAATCAACATCCCGTTTGTGAGATGAACATTGCCATACCAGCCGCACAAGGGTGGCTATTGGTGGGTATACTGTCAAGCAAGAATATTTCCGCCCGGTGATTTGAAACTGCGCAAACCCCTGCGAATCCCACCGCAGCAGCCTCTGGATCGCCAGAGATAAGCAGCTGGAAGCAAGTAGAGAACGATAAGATATTTACCTCAACCACTGTGCTTGCATCTTAACTTCCGTTTTCTGATACACACCACACATAAATGCCAAGCGAATCCAGTGTGGGAGCAGGAGCAGCCTGTTCTCTTGCTTGCTCCAAAGTTCACACGTCAAAAGCAGCCATATAGACTGGGCGTCGAATATGAAGTTCGGTTTCGGTGAACTTGGGGCCGATAACATTGGCTGATACGTAGATAGTGCGGCCTTGACCGTTGTAAGTCAAACGGAATTCTGTCCTAGCTGATGGACCTACAAGGACAGAGCTATAAATTAAGTTGTTGGAGGTGGAATGGGTACGTGTACAAAAACGAGCGGCATCAGCAACAGTCTGTTTTCGTTTTCTCGTCCTACCTTACGCAGGAGGCAAGGCAGTCCGGCTGATGGCAGCACGCATCGGCCGGTATAACGTGACATCGTTTGCAGTTATGAATATCATGACTGTACGCAAACAATGATACTGTGAGGGTGCCCAGACTTAATGAGGATGATAGTTAGTATGCCGCATGTAAGCATTTGCCTCAGAAGCATGGTCTCCATGTAGATGGATTTGGCAAAAATGCAAGCGTTTCACCATTTTCGAAGAAAAGGACGCTACGGATGTTCTGGACCCAAACTGGAAGACTGAAAGACCGCAACACCACCTTGTAGTTTGTTTTGCCTGTTAGGGTTGTTAGCAACGAATAATTTGGTCAGAGTGAAGGGGATAAATCTCCAACCTAAAGCACTGACTTTCTTGAGTTTCAATCTTTCATCGATTCAGCTCCCAGCTGAAATTCGTTTCTTCCAGGTTCGCCCACACAAGTAGGGCTGACTGGGAGAAACCAGCAAGTCGCCGCACTTCGTGGACCTGCAGTACTAGGTGGCGTGAAGTTGCGGCCATACTATCCCCTACGATGAGAGTGTGAATGTAGTAAGCGTTTTCCTTAAGGTGATCATTATGTCCATATTTATGAAGACAGTGATGCCGAGTTGGTTTCTAGAAAGGACGTATTCAAGAATGCCTGCCCTAAAAACCCCAAATTCCAATCACTCAGGAGTCAACCGTGACCACCATTGCATTGTTCATTACGGTTCAAATAGTTTTGAAACCAGAGAGTATGGCCCCGCTCAAAACGAACCTGCTGCACCCATCGGCACTGAAAGTCAGACAGCCACATCTCGATTTCCAGTTCCTCAGCATAGATGAGCTTCGATTAAAGGACTAAAGCTAAAGTGAAAATTGCGTAGTCTTCACCAAGATGCCATTTGGCAAATGAACAAATGATGTTCATATAGTTGAAAGAGAGACGGAACTACAAGTATATGGGTGCCTCGAACAACCAATCGTGACCGGACGGTTGGATGTTTGAGCTTCTAGTCAGATGGTCGCTGGTTGAAATAGCTATAGCTTGAGCAACAGTGCTGTCATTAAGCCTTTGAGCTATTAATTCACTGGCCTCTTTCCACACTTCCCTTCCTCTGCGCCATCACTCACCACCACTCCCTACCCAGTAAGGTGAATGAAGACACTCACGTATCTTACTCCACTTTGCTGCTCTGTATAGGTAACATGTCCCTACATCTCAAATCTTGCTTCCCTATTTCGATCAGCTAGTCTTGTGTCTCCAAAAAACACAAATACAAACCCCGACTCGAGCCGCTCAGCTCGGTTTCTGGCAGATTTCTGGGAACCCATAATCCGAATATCTGCCCATCAAAACTGGGTGGCCTGTGGTATCTACTACGTGTGCATTGTGTTTACCCCCACAGCTAGAGCAGACTCACTGTACTGAATTCTAGCAAACAGCTATATCTACGCCGTGAGGATAACCAGTCCAATCGAAACCAATAAATCTCGGCGGAGTAAACAGTCTTGTTTGTTACGCCAGCATACGTCTCGCCAGTCGCGTGTAAAGTCTAAATAGGCAGCTACTTTCGTGAGTTCCATGGCAATTAAGCCGGTAAGAACTGCAGATATCGGCTCCGTCGGCCGAAACAGTCCTAAGGACGTCACTCCCGGCTTGCCACATAGAAAACGGAGGACGATTTCATCGGTTAATTGCCAAGTATCATTTGTTTCTGGCCAGCCCAAACTTTCACCACAAGTGCTAAGCAGCTGTGGTCCCATTTGGACCAGACGGCAATCAGGTTTTGATGGAAAACTCCAATAGACTGTAGTTTATTTCTGAGTGTACCAGTGGACTCTTGCAACGGCAGTGTGCTGTTGCCATCATCCATTTTAATCAATGCAAAGTTATGCTCTCAGTTGCTTACAGGTAATCCATTTGGCTTAACAATATCACGGATGCGGTGGCTGCAGTGATGATTTAGATGATGACTGGGTATAGGTTGATGATTGCGTGCCCATAACCCCTGATAAAACCTTACAAGGTCGCCTGTATGGATCAGCAGACTTGTTCGACCTAAGAAAAATATAACGGCAAAAACGACCAAATCAGGCCTGGAGTCACCCTGGCACCGGCTGTATCGTCGGTATTTCCACTTTATGAAAATCGCTCCAGGTGCGTCGCTTAATATAGATCACATTTTTTTGTTTTTTCTCTCTCCGAGACCTGTTTTTGGCTACGTTGAACGTTAGAAACCGTGAAGGTGTTGAGCGCTGAAATATGCGTAGGTGCCTACTTTCAGTACTCCACAAAATTTCACAAACCAGGCCGTGTCACTGAAGGGTTTCATCCGTTCTTTCACCTCTTTAGCTTCGTCAACGATGACATGCCTGAATCTGCTTACCTGCCTCCAACACATCCGTGGTCAACATACCCTTAGATTTTGTGGTAACTGACAATGAGTGCGCCAAAAACGTTGCTGTCCGCGAGCTGAACCATTTAAATGCGTCAACTATTCTAAACAGCCACCTCGCTCGGCCTTGTACCGGATGGGGATCATCCAGTAGCGTTGGCTGTATTTCTTGAGATTGAAGCATCATGGGCAGTTTCGTTCAACTCAGTCAGCTTAGCCACTTCCATCTTCCTGGATCAGGACCACGGAACGAATAAGTCAGTGACCGTGCCAGAAAGCTAATGGCACTCTTGCATCAGCTGTGTGGCTCCGGTAACTAAAAAACAGAAAGATTCGAACGCCGACCAACTGACTGAGTTGTAGTCCGTGGCACACAGAACCCATTCCCCTGTTGTCTGTATCCGCCAGAGTGGATAAAGAAATTCGGTGAGCTGCGAAGCTATGAACGTCGATTAGGAATTATTTTGGTTTGAACACATACGCAACAGAATGCAACATTTTGGCGTAGAAAGTTTCATGCCACGCGCAAAGGTTCTGTAGCTAGGAGCATTATGCAGCTAATGGGCGTCTACCATGCCTGTGCACAAACGCTCAAACCGAAACGCTGATATATGTTGTGTTTTGTTGAAGTCTGCTTCAAAAATGCTCAGGTCATTTTACTGGCGTGCTTTTCAGTTTTAACTTTTGTAACGCATTTGAGACTCGAATGTATCTGCTTGCCCGTTCCTCATATGACCTTACACGTGCCCCTCCCTTTCTCTCTTCCTCCATTGCAGGTACCACGGACGAATCACCACGGGCCCTGGACAGGGAAGAGTACCCCGCTTGTACACCCCCTAACTGACCTTGACCCGACCCGGTACACCCCCCGCTTCCGGTTTCGGTTTCGCTCAATACACGTGTGTCGTTACCACACTCCGGCCTTCTCCCTTGTTCCACCCGACCTGTGCGCATGTGTGCTGTGTATACTGTGTGGATTCATTAATACCAGTCCGCAACCAACAGAATGCAACATTTTGGCGTAGAAAGTTTCATGCCACGCGCAAAGGTTCTGTAGCTAGGAGCATTATGCAGCTAATGGGCGTCTACCATGCCTGTGCACAAACGCTCAAACCGAAACGCTGATATATGTTGTGTTTTGTTGAAGTCTGCTTCAAAAATGCTCAGGTCATTTTACTGGCGTGCTTTTCAGTTTTAACTTTTGTAACGCATTTGAGACTCGAATGTATCTGCTTGCCCGTTCCTCATATGACCTTACACGTGCCCCTCCCTTTCTCTCTTCCTCCATTGCAGGTACCACGGACGAATCACCACGGGCCCTGGACAGGGAAGAGTACCCCGCTTGTACACCCCCTAACTGACCTTGACCCGACCCGGTACACCCCCCGCTTCCGGTTTCGGTTTCGCTCAATACACGTGTGTCGTTACCACACTCCGGCCTTCTCCCTTGTTCCACCCGACCTGTGCGCATGTGTGCTGTGTATACTGTGTGGATTCATTAATACCAGTCCGTATATCTGCACATTTCAGAACTGACGTGTGCCGTCCTCTCGAACGTCGAATACCGCTGACTTCCTGACATCCCACGCTACACTTCACTGATCTGTTGTCATGTCTTTCGTGCTGGAATTGGTTTCCACACCTTTTTCAACTTTTACTGCCTTGGAGGTTTACCTCCAGATATCGTTTGCAAAACACCGTCATCACCTCTTTGTGTTAGGTGATATTCATTTAACATGTGGGCAAGAGAGCGCCTGGGTGTTTAGTGGCGAGTTGCGCTGCGCCGACAGGCTGCATCTGTTGCGATAACCGCTCGTGCGGTTACTTTACTTTGGTGGGAGCAAGCATTTCAAGTAAACTTTACAAACCATCTAGTACATCTTGCACTTGAAGGCTAAGCGTCGGCTCACTACTGGAACTTGGGTGACCGATTGGGTACAGATAGCTTTAGTTTCTTAGTGCAGTATCAAAAAGGAACTACAATAAGCTTGCCCTGCTAATCGTGGTTCAGGAGGTCTAGATTCAGTGAACAATTACTGCCGAACATCACCATGCGTCAATGTGAATCAAAATTAAAAATTTCAGAACATGCAACAATGAATGCAAAACCTGAGACGACTTCCGAGGAATGATAGGCTGAAAAATTTATCATGGATGTGGGCCGACCTGAAGATAAAAATAATGAATTGCGAACGGTTTTCAAGGTCGATAATTCGACGATGTAACACTGAAAATTCTACCATCCAGGGTAACTTCTTGCAACAGGAATGTTGCCGGGGGAATAAACCAATTCCATCTGAAGGCGGTATGGTATTTTTGATAAGGTTTTGCGTCTAAGATCGTTCGTACGTCGCGCAATGCAATAACGAGACTATTAATCAAGGTCAGCCACAACAAGATTAAGAAAGTACGTTTACCAGTGCCACTGGAACAACAGGAGTCGTGTGTTCATGAAGAATAGCTAGCCTGCGGGTATTCAACTCTTTGAGCGACAGGCAAACGATACTTTGCATAGTCTTTGTGAATTACAACTACTATACCTTTTCCGACTGATGAGAGACCTGACTGACCTTGCATGGTTAACTCAAATTAATGCAAATAAGTTCAAACATTCGGCCAACTGATGTGAACTCAAAGTTCCGGTGGCAGCTGTTGTGTACCAACTATAACGTCTGTGGCTTCTGTTTGCTATGCCCCAATGAGGAACAACTGGATATATCACCCGCCCCAGAATTCACCACATACGTTTCGATCGGCAACTAAATAACCGGAAGACGCTGACATTTATTTGCAGGTAACTTCTTCATATGGTTTGCCAGGCCAGAGTGTCCTTGGAGGAGCCCTACCGCTGCACTCGGCGTTATGCGATGCAATAACGAAACTCACAATCCCTGAGCGATTCGGCACAAAAAACGTCTCAAACGTTACTTAACCAGATGGTTGCAATTAATAATATTTTGGAGGGTATCTCGGGGTGTTGCAAGTAACCCGCCCAAAATATCCACGTTCGGCGTTCTACAGGAAAGTAATTCGTGGCAAGGTACGCTGGGAAAGGCCAGGTCCGATAAAACCCAACCAAGAATACACAGCATAAAGTGCCTTCGGGAGGTTCATGCAGTTTATCCTGTGCCTGAAGCACCTGAGTCAATCGCGACAGGGAGCTTTAGACAAGAAAAGGTGGATTGAAGAGAATCAGAACCAACCGATGGACCGTCATGAACAAGAGTTGACAATCCGGGTACGCCCATACAACACAACGCGGCCGACTATGCTGAAGGAAAAAAGGAGGGCTTGAACCTATGAGTGCGGAGAAAGTGTGATGGCGGCGATGGTGAGCCTAGCCAAGCTTCCATCCATTTTATGGTCTGTTTGTGCAGCACAACCTACCCCTTGAAGTTTAAATAGCTTCGCTGACTACTGTTACTTATGCTTGCGCGCACCACCGCCTTGCTAGCACTGCTTCCGTTAGCCGATGGAAGTCCCGGTATTTACATTCAGGCGTGAAAGTGAAAATCCATATTCTCCCAGGTTGTGCTCGTGGGGTAACGGCAGCATGCCTACTGTCACTTGTGCAGAGAATGGACCCCTGCACACCCAGCGATATGAACGGCAAGATTAGGAGCGCCATGACTTTTCTTGGTGTGGATCCTCCTGGAAGGTTGCATGAATGAAAGAAGACGAACGTTTTGACATCACAATCACTCACAGCCAGCTACACAGCGGTCCGGGATATCAGACGGTTTCCGAAAGATCTATGGGGCCTATGGAGACCAGAAGCCAACTTGGAAAAAGAACTTGTTTGCTGTAAGCGTCGATATGCCATGAAATTTGACATGAGTGAGTAATACCGAATGATTTCAAGGCCTGTTACAAAATTCTCATCGCAGTAGAATCTTATTGAAGCCTCAAACACCCATGAATACACCACAGTTTTCTCTCGGCTCGGGGAAGAACATTTATTTGAACTGACGAGCGGCTGGTGGTGTTTATCGCAAAGTTCAAGCGGACTTTTTAGTATCGTAATGTGTTATCGCGGATCGAACTTGTATGATGGAAAATGGTTCATCTGAATTGACCCTCAGATTAGAGATCCTTCACCCAAGTTACTTGGTTGATTTGTTGTTAGCTGAAAAAGAGCAGCTCAAAGTTGGAGGGTACAACTCTTCCAATGGTTGCACCGCACAAAGTCCCCAGCGTACTGACGAAAAAGGTCCCCGGGATTCCTCAATTGATCAGCCTGGTTCACAAATCTCGAATCATATTGGAAAAAATGGAATCAAGAACTCCAAAAAGCCCGATAAGCTCAGATTTATTCTTGAGGAAATGTTGCATTTCGAACGTCGTCTTCTGGAGTCACTCAGGATTTTAACAGTAAGCTGTCTGTTTTTTCAGTCATGCGGTAAGGACATCAATTCCACCATATGTGACAAGAACTCCGGTAAAGATAGTACCACATTGAAAGAAATTTTCAAGGACATTCCAAGTCTTTATCAGTTACACCAACACCTGTCTAGTGGACTCGATTCTTTACGAGCGACCAGCAGTCCAGACATACTGCCTTCCGTTTTCATTAACTCCAAGGAAATCCCCTATCTTAACATCTACAAAAGCTTTATGTGCCGCTATGCCACGAACTATCCCAAGTTAACAAACTTGGTGCTGAAGGACAAAGAATTCCGGAATATGTGCACACAGTGTATCGTGAGTCTACAGACAGTTTTTCTGGTGCCTTTTCTTTTTCGCTACAGTTGCCTTTAAAAATGTGCTGTCAGGTTAGGGGCTGATTTATACAAAATGCGATTCTTTCGAATTCTTATTGAATTAGAATGATCATGATCACTGTCACCATAGCCAACATCAGTTTTATACTGGTTATATCTACCAAGGTTTAGTTCGCCAATGATCTCGGGTGGTAGGGAGTGGATAGCTGAGCATTGTAAGCGATGGCTGATGAGAGCGATGTATGAATATTGGTGTTGTTAGACTTTCCACTGGAAAGATCGGAAGGAAGAGTTACGCATTGATAGGAAGAGCTTAGATGCATTCATCATGCATTCAGATGCATTCGTGTGACAAAGCCTGTGAAGAAGCTTCAGAAGCCTGACGCTAATCGTTGTATGCTTATTGAGTTGGTTTACGCTTCTGGCGGTTGTAGCTCTAACAACACAAAAGACAACTTTTGTGACGCCTTGAATACTCTGTTAGGGTCGTTTAGAAGTGTGGACAATGTTGTAATTGTCGGGGATGTAACCTAGTGCATCTGAAGCTCGACTGGTTGGTCGACTTGAATTGAACTCGGTACCTACGGATAACGGTGAACCACAGGTGCAGCTGTGTGCCACCCCTAGACTGTTTTTAAGCAGTATTGACTTCCTAAATTACCGTAGTTGTCCGACGACGTGATTCCCTTCAATAATTTGATTCAAATTGATAACGCCACCATCAGTTGCCGAGGTGGTGGACAAATGACTTTCATTGCTTCTGGATAATATGTGTAGATGCCGACCATACTCTAGTCCAGAACCATTTCCATAACTTCCTGCAGCTGGTAGGGGGTGCACAAATCGCCTAGCGACTAAGAGAGTGACGAATCCTAAACTCAAGCGAAATATCAGAAAAACATTCGAGGCTATCTCAACCGATCTACTGTCTGATCAGAACTCTTACTGGAGTGGGACCGCCACAGAATTGTGCAGGGCTTAAAGTTGCACCTATGGCAAGGCACTGCTAGGTCCTTCAAACACTGGATAACAGGGAGAATAAAGGTGGCGCTTGAATTTAAGATAAATACCTTCTCCCGTCCCGAAGTTAACTCAGCTTGGTGAATCATCAGAAGTCACGTGAAAATGGGCATTCATGCCTACTATAATGTCTGGTCGGTACGAAAGGTTAAGTTAACGTGAAAACTGAATAATACTATGAGTGTCCGAAGATTATTTTGGTCAATTTATGAGAACAATCTTTGAAAACCACATGTGAGCGCGACCGTCAATGCACGATCAATTTTAACAACGAATAATTCGTGGAACACTACGGCAGTAATTTTCGTGGTCATGTGCTGCTACACAGTCAGATTTTCGTACCATATTATGAACGGGTACGGTGAATCTGGAACCCTTACGACCTTTGAGTTTTTCGACTTAATGCCGTTCTGTAAGCTCCACCAATCTCATGGTCCAGATAAGAGTGAGGTCCTCATTTAGCGTTTTATCTGTTTGCCTCCAGTTTTGGGAATACGCTGTTCAACACAGGTGGAGAGAATAGGCAAACTGCCCGTTTCAGAAAAAGAGGTAGGTAGGAAGTGTGGCAGTAATAACGCAGCTCTTGGCGTTGCTTGTTGGTCGCCACCTTATAATTCTCTGCGAAGTATTGACCACAAGACTGCAAGCGAGTTATCGGCCTAGTTGGGGTCGAACGTACCATATCTCTACAGTCCATCAGTTGCTACAACATCACCCGTAACTCTGGTAGCCTCTGAGAGCAACGAAACTGCAATTTCTTTAGGTCTCTGAGGCCCCTCGAATCCGCGACGAAACATTAGGAAAAACAGTGATCAATTGTGCATTCCAGCCTAACTGCATCCAACAACGAAGCTGTTGTGTGATGTGGCGCGCGTAATGAATAATCGTCTACCGAAAAGTGATGTTTCCCATGCAATATTTGGAGTGACCTAATCAGAAAGGTGGTCAATTTTTGGCCTGCCAAAAGGGCATGAAAACGGTCACGAGAAGCACAGTGCTTCTCGCCTTTTCAGCATTGATTAGCTTCACTTACGGAACAAACTCTCCACTCTTCTTCTGCATCAACAGCAGTACATCATTAATGTATTCTGGTGCTGGAACCTCTGGGGACTTTTCAGGATGTAACCGTTAATGGATTCCAACAACATTCGAACTATCAGTCTTTTTCTAGATTGTGGAACTGAATATTTGGAGGCGCAGGTAGTTCGCACTTTTGTGGTAGACTAGCAGTAACTTCTATTTCTTCCTGTTCCCATCTTCATAGGGTTCTATTTGAGTAAATTGAATAATTTGTATGGCACATGAGCATGTGTTCTCACACCGGTATTTCTATTAGGGATAGTGATTATGACGTGGCAGACCGTCACCTGCGTTTGGTTGACCGACAAACTAGTGAACACCGAGTTGTATTATGGAAGTGCGCAGTACGCCTGGGCCATAACTAGATACATAAAACCATCTTACACTGAGTGGAAAATCTCAGATCTGCCACTATCAAGACTACAGCAGAATGGGACGAGTTTCGATCTACTGGCACGCTCCTTAACAATACTTTTCGGACCTACACCCATGTTCGCAGTGAGAAGTCTAAGCAACTATATCCTAGGTGGATGGGTGTACTAGGGCATAAAAAATACCAGGAGAGATCGATTTTAGCATCGTTCGTTCACTGGCATAAGGCATGGCAGATGACTCGTTTTCGATAAGATTGGTATATATCACATGGATTAAAACGTACAACCACTTTTATAATGTTGAATATAATGGGAAGCTAACCTAATGAGCCGCGAGCTACGCAACTCAAAAATAAAAGAGGGACTGCACTTTAGTGACCCTTGGGATGGAGCAACATACTGAGCCGTCAAATGAGGATATAAGGGCGTGATGACATATCGGCTAAAGTGGAGGCACGAGTAGAAACAACAAGCACGAGAAGTTCGGCAACACTTGCCCTCTAAAAAGACTCGTATGAAGAATAGACGGACTGACAGTCAAAGCACTATGGTAAAGGAGGAAGCAGTAAAGCAACAGAACTAAATGGAAGTGTTTGTTCGTCAAAGAGTATCGAAGTGAGAATCGTGAATACTTGCTCGGCGCGGAGTTTAGCTCCTAATTCTGCGCCACACACCTTATGTTGTACATTACCCCGCTTTCTGGTTGCCTTAGTTCAACATGTTATTTCCAGATGGCGTTTAGTAGTGGAGGAAGAAGTGGACCACTTTAAATAAGTTCCCAACTAATGAAAATAAAGACTATCCTTCATCGCCAAGAACCACGCACAGAACGGACGAAAGGAAGCGGAGCAAACTTTTACAAGCGTTTCTCCTCTCCAAATTAGTGAAATTTTAGATGTCTGCTGGAGTGACATCTCATTAGAATTTAAAAAGTGAGAGAAGTCCACGCATTCACGGTTGATATGAATCGAGCAAGGGAAAACTTCCGCCCTACAGCATTCAGGGCTGAAACAAGGGAGGCTTAAAGAGGCCACGATGAGTGAAGTCTCAGTGCACTGGTAATTTTGTACCAAAGGTCACGAGATTCATTAAGATGTCAATATTGCATTATGAGGATAAACGGACTTAATGTTTTGGAAAATATTGAAATTGATACCATCCTGTTAAGTCTTAGGAAATTTTCCGATGCTAGTTAGAGAGCTAGCAAGTATATACAACGATACAGTACGGGTAGAGGGATGATAGACCAGGTCTTCTTACGAGACTGATCTGCGATGTATGTCACAAAGTAGTCTTCAGTTATCCGAACGCAACTCGGATGACACTTGTGGGCATATTTCTTTTGTCTTTCGCTTGGTAAACATGAGGTAGTTGCACACACGTACGAATTTGACATCGGGCTATCCCATTGTGGTTCGCGTTTTCACAAGCCTGTGGAAAAGGCCTTTATCTTGATGCTGCTTGGTCCGATTCACTGCTGGTACGACGCCACACAGAACATTGTCAGCGACATATTCAGCGTAAGTGTAGTATAGTTACAGTGCGATCCATGTGCACGTGATCTAGCAATTGGAATGAGGCAGTATGCGGTTCCGGCAGCTGCACTTTATTATTGGTTTCTGTTTCAGCATGGTAAGTCAACTCCACTGGTTTGATATGAGGGGCATTCACTGGTCATGGTTGGGTTAACTTCTCTCGCAAGGAGTGCACTCCATTTGGACATGTTATTTGGGTAACGGATGAGTGTCATGAGAATGTCTCTCTGTACGCTCATCGATGTCGTCCTAGTCTTCATCATCAACAAGGCAAGGTTTACTTGCCTCTGCGGCGCGACCGGTAAACATAGAGTCTTACACTTTGGTTTGTTGCTCTTGTAACCGAGTGACCTTTGAAATCCCGATGGAAGAATAATGGCATATCGAGACCATTGAAAGCAACTTGACATGTATTCAAGGGAAAAAGGTCATTCGGGATAAGTTCCTCTAATTAGGCAGCATCTATACCTGGTGAAAAGAATCAGATACTTTTTCACAAAACATGGTATTCCGAAGAACAAAAACTGCCTAAAACAAAACGAGCAAGTTTAGAACACCCTTGTTAAGCATGACTATAGCTATTGAATAAAAATATCATCAATCTACTATACTGCCACTGTGTATTCTTGTTGAACTTCAATTTGAAGTTGATAATGAACATAGGAAAAGTGCACCCTTTATTATCCCATATTTGCTTCTGTTTACGACTTGAACCTACACACTCTAACCATTGTCTTATGTCACACGCGGAAAATTCCGACCATCCACACTTCATGAAGTTTATATCCGTATATATCTTTCCAATAGAGGTTTTTGTTCCAGCATTCCGTAAACGCAACACAACGAAGACTACATCTTTTAGTGATGTTAAGGAAACACCTAGGATCCTGCTGTGGTACGGCATTTACGAGATCAAATGGAACTCATTTGGTGGCCTCCAGTAAGCTTGAGTTTGGTGAATTTCAGGTATGACAAAGAGTTTATAGCTTTATTTGCCCTAAATTCCGTATTCTTTAATGATACTGGTGTAGCTTTGGATATAGTGCCATTCGTTAAAGAACGCCCAACACTTCATTTCTGTTATCAGTGGTACTACTTAGGGCTTTATAGGGTAAGAATCATATTGCCCATGAAAACTTTTGATTTAAGCAGTGTTACAGTTCCTGATGTCGAATATTTGTGAGATAAGACTTAAGTCCAACTAAATCATTATTGTTTTCTCCTTTCTCTCTCGGTTAAGATCTCATCCAAATACGAAGAACAACGCATTCAGGACGTCTGCGGAATGTACCTCGGCGTACACAGCTCCGTGACACGGTTTAAGCTGTTAATTTCCAGTAAGTTTCCTGTCAACACGGAGAATTTTTTACATTAATCTATTTTGGGTAAGAAATAGAAGAGGCGCTGGCCGAGGATGACATCCGTATACGCGATGTACGAAGTAAGTGTGCCTGACTAACACTCTGTTGCAATTCTCCTATAGAAGCGCTTAAAGTTTTGGATGAACTTCTTGCCAATTCTGAAGGCGAAATTGTGCGCCAGGTTAGTTGATTACAAACATGTCTGGTACCTTCAAAAATTTTTCTGAAACTTGTCAGTCGAATGAGCTTACCCCTTTGTTGGCGATTCACATCGGGATTATCTAGAGAAACCTTTCTATGGTGTCCATTTCATGCATTTGGGGAAATATTGACCAGCGTTTTGAAATTCCAAATAGAGTTATGCACTCGTTCGCAGCTGAGCGTGTAACCCCGCTGACTTTTCATTTGAGGTTCGAGTACGAAATGAGAATAACTGACCTCCAAGAGAAAAGAAACCGGTACTGGGCTGTCAATGAGTTTTCAGCAACTCCTGGGTCGATAAATTGAACTGCACATGGTAGCACCTGGGATAACACATGTTAGCAAAGTTCTGAACTTTTGAGTAGGACTTTGAAACAAAATGGCTAGGTCTCCATTCGCACAGTCCATTGGTGATCGATGATGGAGGGTGGGGAGGGACAAGGAATGGTATTCAGAACGATATGATCCAACTACGTTCAAATTTCAAGCCGATGCATGTTGGGATCTTGTTTCTTATATATATTAATATAGCTGATACGGTGGGAGAAGTAATTAATCATTTTGGAGGAAGCAGTAAGGATCCTTCGGAAAATTTAAAATGTGGAGTTGTTCTAGGAGTCAAGACAATGCCTTGTGGAGCAGCCTCTAGTTACTCCAATCAGCCAAGTTACCATAAATTGCTACAAAATTAGTTGGAGTTACAGTTGTAGCGCTCATTAGCGGTATTATTTTTTCTCTTTGCGGCACAGCTTCTCTAGTACAACCGGATTCGCTTCTTATTTTCAAAGTAGTGGGACGTGTGGATATGTGCTACCTACTTTCTAGTCATTCACTCACCGAAATGTGAATGTAGTTAAGGAGAAGACTTTGAATTTCAAGCGCCACTATGGTACAATCAATGGGAATCTACAAAGTCCTGCCCTGCCTCTCTTTGCGTCGCTCACCCGTGCTTAGTATGCCTTACCATACCGTTGCCTACATGGAAATGAGTTTCCTGGAGTAGAGGACACTGGGAGAAAAGCCGTAATTTTTTCATTTGTTCGTCCTGAAAGTGCCTATTTTTACCTTTCGTCTGTCTCAGCTTGAATTCGGTCGCTGACGCTTCAATATACGACGCAGCTGCAGTACAGTGGGAAGACTATCTGGCACTTGGTATCCGAAGATGTGTAAATAATTTCACAGCCATAGCTGTGTTCATATCTCCCGGCTGAAATCTGAACAACAACCGAATACTCCTAAACAAATCAATGTTTTGGTTGAACACGTCATCTCTATGTCCGGCATCATCACGACGTGGACATCGCAGCGTTCCATGATGGATGACATTCAGTTGTTAGAGCTATACATTCGGCCATCAGTAGGAAGGATAAGTTGAGCCCTTGTAATATCAGTACAAAGTTCTTTGTACGACCACAGCTTCGCCAACTTTGGCTAGTGCAGTCTGTAATCTTGAACACTAGGTTAATTACGAAGCGATGCACGTTTTAGTTGGCTCTAGGCTACTTGAGCCTGACCCTGTCTGGTGAAGCTTTCTAAGAGGTGAAGCAATTTCATTCACAGATGTTGCTGTCAATGGTAATGTTGCTGTACCACGTAAATGTTTGTACATGCAATTCGCCTCTCAAGATTGCCGAAATTCCCTTGTACATTTGTCAGTATATTGGTTACCTTGGTAGACCAGAGCGTTTAAAAACGCTGCCCACACTGCTAGATAGAGCTAAAATCACCTTCAGTGTTTACCGGTATCATTCTCTATCATGGTATGCGTTACTGGGTACGCCTTTGTCAGTCCGAATTCATTTGCTGTCAAGTTTCTACTCTTTTGCTCGAAAGCCGTTAATTTATGTTGTTCTCGCACAACGCCGTTACTGCCATTATCAGATTGTATGATGCTTCACTTAATTTGTCCATCGCACAGATGTCGCCTGTAAGATTCGTGCTTTAGTTCTTTCATCGTCTCACTATTAGAGGGTTTGAAAAATCGAAAATAGGGAGCATCTTAGTTTTGCTGCTTTCGTCTCATATCGTTCCTTGTCATTAAAGTGTCCACGTTTTTTAAACCCACAGGACCAGATACTGGACGCTCACGCTGCCTTCAGTAAAATCGATGGTCGACAGATGGAGTTCAGACATATTCCCCCACTATTAAAAGAGGGCCCATGTAAGAAAATTCCCAGACGATCTTCTCAGAAGCGGATTCTGGACAGGCATTTATTTCTAGTAAGCACTTGATGTTAATTGTTCGTACTCTTTAGAGTGGCAGTTCGTCTGAGGCCTTTGTAAGTTGTGTAAGCTACAGGGCATTTCGTGGTTGCTGTTTTCACTCCTGAGCAGGCTAGAAACTCTGTGATAGCATGTTGGGATTTCCCTAAGCCAAACATACATGGGATGTTTATTTCGTAGGATGTGAATATTGTGTCGGACCACCGCAAGTTATTTTGGACCCTATGTGAGGGCTTGAAGCTAACGGTGGGTCGCCATTTTCAGCTTTTCGAAGGTGATTTGCATCCTTACATCGGCACGATTTGGTTCGGAAGCCAAGCGGCACCTCCTTGTACGTAATGTTTTAGTGGAAATGTTTTGTTATTTAAAAAAATGGCTCACAGAGACTCATCTTAACATTATCTGAAGCAATTAAGTGACGTTCAAATAGGGGGACTGCGAGGCCTTGTTCGTCACATATTGTGCAGAACGTTGAACATGTTGTTTTGGCGTTCATAGCTTGATGATGTGAGCAGCCGCACTAGTTTACTATTGATTTTCGCCATTTTGCATACCTACGAGTCAAGATGAAACTGCGCTAAAAATTGTAGCGGCTTTGGAAAGCTGTTACTTGTAAAAGGTACGAATCAGTTTCATCATTTATCCTGAGGCTTAAAATGTAGCACTGAAAGTTCATATTGATTATTCAATCATTGTGGTGTTCAAGTGGGATCGACAGTACTGCTTATTCTGTGTACGACCACAGTTGTTACCTTTGGAAACTGCTCCATTGAAGTTTGTACTCAATAAGAGGAACGTGTTCCGGGTCACTGGCCACTTTCGAATGCACGTTTTGTCTAAATCCCCCGTCATCTGCTCCAGATCAAGAGGCTGTTTTTCTGAAGGAACATCATCGCAAGTTCGAATGGCCCTAACTTGGTAACACAAACGGAAAACTTGTTTTGTGTTACTGTTCGTCCAACCAAGTAGTGAAATCCCTGATTGTCCCTCTTCAAACCTCAGTCAGCTTCACCAGGTATACTATGGTTCTAAACCTGGGTCGGAATGAAACGCCTGCTCTTCTATAATACATCGCGAAAAACCAATCGGGCTTATCACCACCACTTGGCGCTCTGTTACCTTCTGATTGATATGAAGCTCCTGGCTCCCACTGCGTCTAATGAGTGGACCAACGATAGGCTCTTGCATTCTATTTGAGTGCAATATAAACTGGAAAATATCTGAAAACAAGCGATAATACAATTTTGTTGGACCGACTTGTCCTATTCGGTTTTGTTGGTCCCTACTCGGAAAAGGACTCCTTTCAGAAGGACCACTTTTTTATTAAGTTTGATTGGTCTTCTAAAAGGGGGACAACCGCATTTATTTCCCGGGGTCGAGTCCTCATTTGATCTCGGGGACTTATATTAACGTTCAAATGCGTTTATTAATGAGCGTCTCGTAAATAACACCAGTTTGTCATTAGTTGAACCCAGTTTCTAACACTCACAAAGTGAACAACTCATTCTCTCTAGATGCTGTATACAGAGCCCTCCAATGAGTTTCTTTCTGTTAAAGGCAACTTTGCACGGATTCCTTGGACTTTGTTATTCGATTGCCATGTAATTTTTCCTTCTTCGTGAAGACCAGACAGTTAGGACAAATTTGGCTCGGCTGCTTCCCTATAGAGGCCTACACTACTTATTTTAGTAGCGGATACTTACAGGATACCCGGATTTCAGGTGTACCCTGGGAATGTATTGAAATATTGGTAGCCCCCATATGTTATTTGGTTGTAGATGAGGACGCTGTTTATCTGCAAGCAAGTTACGAAGCTCGGCGAACAGCTCAGCAGCCATTCAGTCTACAGGCAATCAGTAGTATCCACTCACCCATTTCTAGTAGCTTTACCGGCGGTGTTAGGCGTGCTTAACGGTCAAAATAATACAAAAAGCTGTAGTCGCGTGACTTTACACTTAATCAGTATGTGATATTTCGGGCGCTCCATGTTCTAATAGACTGTGGGAATATGTTGAATCTTTGTCGTAAATCGATCATTGACGACTAATATATGCTATAGTGAGCTCGCAGAGTAACACACTATTGAGGAACAGACGTTCATCTAAACCGGTATCATAACCATTTTATCGCCAGCATGCCTCCATTGTTGAACACTAATTCATCACTGCCATATTTGAAAGCCTTATTGTGTAAAGAAGATTGGAGAACCCGGAATAAGAATTTGACTCCATTACATACTTCCACTTATTAAGTCCACCAGCCCACGTAGAAACTATCAACAAAAATGTCCTTGCTGGTCATTAGCAACGTCTCCATCCTTGGAAGGTTGGCCGTACCGGCAGTGCTCAGGCGTTCACGAAAGATTTCATTATGACTAAGAACCTTGAAAAATGGTAAAGTGAGTGAGAGTACATGCGTAAAAAGCTGCAGCATTCTCGAAAAATAATGAAGCGACCAAAGTCTTCCTTTATATTGGTCAACAAGGTACACCAAAGGAACGTTCCCACTGGCGGATCTAGTTGAAATAGTCTGTAGATCGCTTGTCATTCGAGTTAAATAAACTTTTAGGCTACTAGGATCTGGATGTTCAAACTTCAGAACCGATATAATATAGTTCGCTGCTCCTAGGAACTGAGTGGATCTGTAGGTCGGATTCAGGTGTGTAACCAATCGCGTCTGTTCAGTTTTCGTTAGATGACATTCGCACAACACTGTTCTGATACCAAGAGGATCTGGGTTACCCTTATAACATCGCTCCGGTTTAAGATGATTTTCCATCCATGAAGAATTTACCTGCCTGTGTAAGGCCCAAATGGACTCACCACGGAATTGTGTTCTCACCGAATAGGTCTTATGACTCCGGAAATCAATCAGGAGGAAGGCCTCAATTCACTCTAGGGAAAAGTACTGTCTAATCTTGCTGGCAGCAGTCCCGAAATCTGCGTTGGTTGTTGGAGCACGTGTTATTATGATTTACCAGCCCTTTGTAGGCTCATTAGTTGTTAGGACACCCGGCCGGTGTTTGTATGAGGTACCCCGATGGTTTATCTGCAATACTGACTAAAACTAACGGACCTTGGTCTATGTTCACCTTTGGCTGTTCACCATTAACTACCGCAATGGTTTTGTCGTCAGAAGTTGAACCGAATTCGGACGGTTATTGATTACTCGTGTTTTTACCTCATACAGTGGTGCTGTCGCCACTGAATCTGCATAATCTTTTTTGCCCACACTAAGAATAAGTTTACAGCTCACCAAATATTATGCTCAATCGTAGACGAAACGCTCAAATTTGTCGAAAACGTTACATGCTGATGGAGTTAAGTATCTGTGGATGAGGACATTACTGCCGAAATCACCTCTCCTATTAAGAGGACCAGAAGATCCTTTGACAAACTTCAGCACCTGCATGATAGTTGAGACCTCGACCTGTTTTACAACGGACTGCTTTGATCGATACTTCTCTCTTTCCCAATTGGGGGTACTTGAGGACTGCTTGTTTGCCGTCATCGTTTAGCTCACCTTTGGTAACCACTGCGCAAAATTTTCATTCGTAATCACTCTTTAATCTCAGTTTCATCGGCCAAGGTACGTCGACCTCTTCGCTGAGCGCAATTTTCTTGCGGTTCATCCAGGGAAAAAATGTATGTGAAAACTAATGGCCTCTACGATGGCCCTGTCTAATGTATGGGCACTAGCTGAGTATATGGCTGCCAACTGGAAAACTAGCGATAGCTTATCAAATGCAAGGCGAGAACTACCTCAACGTCGTTCTTTTAGACAGAACGAGTAATGTGTTCAACAGCTGCTCAGCTGTTGCTGGCCTTGTACAACCGTATACTCCTATTGAATCACGTCCGAATATCTCTCGTTTTGCGACAGTCGTGCACTCCCCATGCGTAATTAACCGGTTTCCAGGCCCATCTGTCGGGTTCCTATCCCCCGTAATCTCGGATGAAAGCTGTATTTTTTCGCACTTGTCTAAATGTCATCTCAGTAGCATAATTTTCGGCATCCTTTAGTTCGAACTTTATTTTCCAGTCAATCGTGGTTAAGTTATTTTGGTCATCTTTGACTGTTCGTCTCACTTGTCCTGGCCTAACCAGAATAGCTGGTTTTACATCAGATGACACTCGAGTCCCGTAATGTTTCCATGGGGATAAAGTCGGTTTTTGGGATTTTATTCATTTGACTGATCCGATGGTCTCTATGTAGATTTTTCAAATGAAATTAATCGTATACGATGAAAGTGTAGAACAATACTCGGAGACACTGCGACCTTTGCGCAGTTGGCCATTCCGGGATGCGTGTTTCCCAAGGTTGCTATGTATTGCAGTTTGTGCGTTCATTTCATTGTCGGGTCTCTTAGGTTCAAGGACATCGTGTACTACTAACGCATTAGAAGTCAGTGCAATAGACTGTATCAAAACATCTAGGTGACTGCTTGATGCTGTATGTGTAGTATCCGGTGCAGGCCGATAACAGAGGTGTTTTCGGAAACATTTAAATGTGCATCGAAGTGGAATACCGCTGAACCAATGGCTATGTTCAGTCGCAAGTAAGATGCAATCGACTGCAAAGAGAAGAATACGAATGTTTTCCGCTCACCGATGGAAAATGCCTCGGCCTATACGTCCAACCGATGTTGATGACATCCGTAATGGCGAAATGCCTCTGTGCAGGTTGTTAACAACACGCTGAACCGAGGTGGGGAAGCCCAACCCAATTTTGCTCCCTTATCGATTTTGACATCGCTTAAGATAGTTACGCTGGTCCGTACTCAGGAACTCATCTCCGTATGTAGGGTTTACCAATTCATTCAACCTGTTAGGCTTTCGTGTGGCGATCCACAATGGCTTTCTTTTGACTGTATCGGAGTTCTTCACGGGTTCACAAACAGCCCATCCAGGAGGGGATTCCGTTCGCGACATTCTTGTTGCTTGCAACGCAGCAAAGATTATGTTAGTCGTATTCCAACTTCTAAGTCCGCACTGATCCCCCTAGTTCAAACAGCACTTTTCAGTTACTTTTGGATAAATTGTTTTGGTGAGCTTCCAAAAGTTTGATCCTGACACTCCTAAGCCGCTTTCGAATATCTTTCTGTTAGACTTTGGGTTGTTCCAATGAACGTCAATTTGTTCTCTTCAATCTGGGTGGACGTTGGCGACTCATCATCAAATCGTTTTCACCTCCATTTACGCCTTAGTCTAGTTGTGTCCTCAGCAGATGCTTATATGCTTGTTCTTTTCGAGCCCACAAGTTTTTCTGATGTGCTCGGGATTTGGTTACCCGCCCACATTCACCGTAGAGTATGTCATAATTCCGATACACTTTCCTGGTCCTTAAATTTTCTTACAGGGACTTGGGTGGTTTTCTCTCGGTCTAAAACGAGATAGTTTTCTAAGCATGGCACTCACTTTGGCAAGTACCTGGGGGTGTTTCGTTTTGCACACAGCTAAATGCCCCACTTTTTTACTGGTACATCAACGAGATATGTTCACTGCACGATTAGTCAATTAGTTGCCTACCTCCACCCTGTGGGTGAGTTTTATTGGCGAGTGGGTTCCGCACCACACTGAATCATGTGTTTATAGTTGGAAATTCTTGCCGCTTTCGCCTTTCTGAGGGTTCATCTGATACGCTTGGTTCCCGAATTTCAATCAAGTTTATTTCTGGCCCGAACTATTAACTTTTCAAAGCTGTGTCTATAACTGTCGTAGGTATCCCCACAAGAGTATCATGGATAATTTTGAGGTAATATCCTTTTCCACATTAGTCTGATACTCATTGCACTGTTATGCAAGGAAGTTACAGTGGAGGATGTGTACCAGTGTTATGATTTTATTCAAAACCGCCTAATTCATGATGAAGAAATGTGGATTTTCTACGCCACTGGTTGTAACGCAGCCGCCATGGACAGTGATCTGCCTCTTCTTAGCAAATCGTTACCAATAACGCCGTAGCGTTAGCGTGCGAGGGAGGATGTGACATGACACAACTTATATGATATCCGGGTGGAATTCCCATAGATCGAATGTGCCCGTATTGCCATTTCTATCAACTACAGGGCTTGGGAATTTGAAGTATCATTCCCCTACGGTTGCTTTGTGTTGACACTCGGACGTCACTGAAACCGTTCAGTTTGAAGGTGCACAAGTCATAGGGCTAGTCCGCTTAATAACACTAAGCTATGGAATGATGCAACTCCTCAGGGAGTTGAACTCGAAGGGTTCTAGGTATAATGAACCATTTATCAGGTGTTAACTTGTTGGAAAAGAATGAAGAATATGTCTGTAGTGTGGTATCCAGAAGCGCTGCTCTGCTGCTGAGGCAGCGTGTTGTCTTTGTCTCTGCGGGGATCTGGTACATGCAATGTTAAACATAGGGATGTGTAGCTCAGCTGAGGATGACGATGCTATAGAGCATGCCTCCTGAAGTTACTGTTACTAGGAAGGGTCAGTCACTCACAAGCCACTGTAGAGTCAAACTTTTCTCGTAAACCCTTGTAAACTCTTGACAGGTTCTTTGAACAAGGAAGCTTGTACCGATGGTGAACTAGGCTTGATTTATTTTATCGGTTCTCTGCGCATCCTCATAACTTTCCGGACGGACTATACTCTCTACTCTTTCTGGGTTTCATCAATCAAATGTAGATTTACAAGGACAGACTTCGATCTGTTTTTGTAGAAATCGTATCATTCATTTCGGTTTTCGATTGCTTTTTCGTCTTTGTTGATCTGGTGAATCAATTCGGACAATTGAGCCATTTTTACATGTGACCAAAACTCTAATAGCTTTACCAGTAGGTTGAACAAGTGTCTTTCATCGAAGGAGTTATTGACCAATTGCAAACTGCTTGGACGTGAAAGTTCTTACTAGGTTATTTCTATTCTCATGAAATTAGATTTTTTAAGTGGCAAACTTTGAGTGTCCAGGTTTCTTTGCTATACAGTACTACTGTCAGACAGATACCACTATGCAATAAGGCACTAGGCTCAAGATGGTTGTAGACTATGTATTTTATGGTTCACATGTCCGAATGGACCGCGTAGTATACCCCAATCTGTGTCAGTTTGAACCATCGTTTGCCGAAGAGTGCTGTCTTCCATGCCTAACTCAGAGTTGCGTAAACAGAGAGGTGGCCAACCCTTGACTTGGCAGAGGAGTATGAAGGAGATCACGAAACGCTTGGGTGCTGTCGGTGCTACTCGCCTTCCAGGATGGGGACCGCGTGATCCTCACTGTGCCTGGTGGGAGACACTACAAGATATG